CCATCCACACCCCCCCTCCCTTCTCTCATTTTCTCATCGACCATTCTCAGTTAAAATATTTAACATCCAAACTTTTAGCACATCAGCAGCAGTTACTAAACACCATAGACAAACTATAAGCTAGAACTAAGTAAAAGCTAAGAGAGAAAAGGGTCAGGGAAAAATACCTTCCTTTAACCTGCCCGAGAACTTCTTGAGCTTTTGCACCATACCCAGTTTCTGCCCCACCCTGCCCAATATGATAGATTAGAAATGAGAAACAAAAGATCCTACTGAAAGCAAGCTGCATTGCGGCAAGAAGCCAATAATATAGCAAATCCCACCTTCGCCCAGTAAGAATTATCTGCAAGTTTCTCGTCAGAAAATGTCACAGCATCTACTTTCACCCTTTGAAATGCATTAATGGTCTTTGGCTGCAATTATACAATCTTTCAGCACAGTTGATCTTGTATCAAGTGAAAGTGATAAGGATTAAAATTTAAAAGATCCCACTACCTCATGTTCACTGATCTTTAGCAACAAATACAATTTGTGGAATTCGATGGGTATTAACTAAATCTTCTTCATATCATACATGAATATTAAAAATTGATATTCCATTACCAAGTCAACTTGCTTCTTTTTTCAAATTGCTACTAGAATCACAAAATGCTTGCCATATACATATAAAAAATAGGCGCCACTCAAGGAGAGAAGACATTTAGAAGCAGAAGAGCGGCTATATGTGGGATTCTAATAGCTTAAGTCCACCGCTAGCAGATATTGTCCTCTTTAAGCTTTCCCTTCAAAGGCTACCCCTCGAGGTTTTAAAACATGTCTGTTAGGGAGAGATTCCCACGCCCTTATAAGGAATGTTTCGTTTCCCTCTCCAATTGATGTGGGATCTCAAAATCCACCCCCCTTGGGGGCCCAACGTCCTTGCTAGCACAGCGCCCGGTATCTGATTCTGATACCATTTGTAACAGTTCAAGCCAACCACTAGCAGATTTTGTCCTCTTTAAGCTTTCCCTTCGAGGTTTAAAAATGCGTCTATTAGGGAGAGGTTTCCATACTCTTATAAAGAATGCTTTGTTCCCCTCTCCAACCGATATAGGATCTCACAAAGATATTTGGCATGCTCATGGAGTTAAGTTATTATGTTTTTCACATCTTTGGAGGCCCTATGTCTAGTTAAATATCGAAAGGATTAAAGACAGAACACTTGAGTCTTCTACATATTACAATGCCAAAATATAGTTAAATCATCAAAAGATTATTGCAGATAAAGAAATTCGACCTCTATGTGATGCCAATATACACATACCTCTGCTGAGCCATTTGAATGTTTCTTCAGAGCTTTCTTTGAAGAAGTTTTCTCTGCAGTTTTTTCAACATACTCATTCGTCTGCTGTGAAAGCTCATTGCTTGTATTGACCTTTGTAGACTGTACACCATCATTACATCCTTTTGAACCTTCTAATTTTCTGCGTTTGATATCTTCAGTTTCATTCTGATCAACGGTACAACTGTCAAGATCTTCAGAAGCCAACCTTTTCCTTTTCTTCGACTTGTCATTGTGTTCTTCTTCATGTGGTGTCTTGATACCAATACTTTCATTCAAAGTTCCCTCTGAACATCTAGTCATGAGCTGGTTTGAATTTTCATCACTTAGAAGTCGACCATCCTTTTTCTTCTTTTTTTTGGACTTGACAACATTTTCTTCAAGAGTAACAGCATTCTCTTTGTTTTTCTTTTTCTTTTTATCCTTAGATTTCTTTCGAGCCTCCTCTTGGACAGAATCGGATTTCTCATTTTCTGCAATATCAACATGAGTTTCGGCAACTGCCTTCTTGATTTTCTTTTTATCCTTGGACTTCTTTGTGGGCTCCTCTTGTGCTTCAGGAGCCCTATCATCGAAACCCTCCTTCACCGTTTCTTCATCTACTAGATCAAATCCAGCCAAGAAGAGATGCACAATTAAAATCAATCATTTCATGTCGTATTACAAATTTTTAAAAATAATTGTAGCTAAGTTTCCTAAACTATAAGAACAAATAAATTAAAAGATCGTGGACAATATGAGAATACCTGGTTTGTTTGGTGTAGCAATGGCTTGAGTACTGCATATTATAACTTTTAAGTTAGATGAATGAATTCATATCTAGATCAAATAAGATTCGGGCAAAAGAAATCAATACATAAGAAATTGTCACTTTTCTTTTGAGTTTAGACAAGAATCAAGATAATCTCTAATCCTACCATTTCTTTAAATGCATATGGCACATTTCTTCGAGACTGAGCGACAAATCCTTTGAGAAATCCTTCTGCACGAATAGCAACAGAAAAGGGAATTGTTTCAACATAGATAACCTTGTTCGATAAAAACATGAAAATAGGATTAAACTTTAACAAAACAAGCGTTTTGGACGAGAAGGTCCATGAATAGCGCATTCTGTAAAGACAATCGATTGAACGCCATAATGAGCAGCAAATGAATAAAACTAATATTAACCACCGCAACCAAAAAGTTTGACTTATGAAACCGCGAAGAACCAGAGTTCGAAGTACTGACCTCAATCTGCGCTTCGGAACGAAACTTTTTGAGCGTTTTGGAGAAGCCATTGCGGTGCAAAAAGAGGGACACGGCGTGAAGAAGAAGAGTCCTCTGCTCTGGGTCTAGAGATACGGCTTTAATGGCAGACATGGGGGCTTCAATGTCGTTTGCTTTCTTCGTGGTGTGGCGTGAGAGAAGAACTTGGCGAGGTTTGAATGCGAGAAGAGAAGGACTTACAGAGGTGGTTAGGGTTCGGGTCATACGCTCGTCGCATTGAAGAAGACTGCTGCTTCCCCGCTAGGGTTTATGAACAAGGGCTTTCTGTTATTTTGACTTTTGTTTGACAGTCAAAATTATAAAAATATACTTTCAATTTTATATTTTATTATTTTATTATTTAAAAAAAATTAAAATTTATATAAAACTCAAATTTTGAGTTGTAGCTTCGTTCTTCTTTTAATGAAATTAACGAAAAATAATCGTGCTAACCGAAAGCATCTTAGGACGAGAACTTGCAAGAAACATGTTTTTCGGTATGAAGAAGTAACCATGGTCTCATTCACGACGTTATTTTTTTGTTCAATTCTTCATTACTCGAGACCTTGATTTGATTTCATTTTCTATAAAAGAACGTGTATATACAGAAATCTTGTAGTGGTTTTTCACTTCTCAATTTTGACCAATAAAGCAAAACGAGTTCAATATGAATGTCGTGATTGAATACGTATCCTTTTATGATGAAGTATGATTGTTGTCTTGATCTCGTATCAAGGTCGATGAAAATAATAAACTCAAAGGAATGGTAAATATCTATAAGGTTAGAATAAATTTAATAGAATTGTATGTGTATATATGCAAGTTTGTTTCTAATTTCTTAATTTCTTTGTATTTGTTAATTAAAAAAAAAACATAAATTCCCATTACAAAATATAAACAAGAGCAAATTATTAAAGTTTAAACCAAGTGATGGCAATTAAATTTTTTTTTTTTAATTACGACCAACAAAATATTATAGCTAATTGTGCAGTTTCGTCATCATTATTTGATTAATTTTAAAGGTGATTTAAAATTTGAATTTCTATATTTGATGATCTCGACGTTCTCAACAAATTTACAGGAGGCGACTCAACGTAAGATTGCTTGAAGTAAAATACGTTTAACTATAAAATTTTTGTACTTGAGCCCCCAAGAAAAAATGTATTTTTATTTTTATTTTTTTTACAGCTCTAATGGATGGTTTTAACTTTTCATTAAATAGTGAAAAATAAAAACAATAATAAAGAAAGAAATTACCCTGATTTGACATAGTGTACTCTTCATTGGTTTCCAATTGGCTCCGAGACTGAAAAAAATTCAATAATATTATTATTATTTTGTTTAACGAGCGTGTGCCAAGCAATAAATGGAGTATGATATAAATATTCTCAATAATATTGAAAATTATTTTCATTAATTTAAACACACATCTACCTATACTCTACAATTATATAAATTAAATACTGAAATTACGAGATAATTGCAATTAAAATATCCTCAAATAATTTATTTAAAACGAAAAAAGAGACTCGAATTCAACTTCTTTTTAATATATGTATATATAGGCAAAACAATTGACCCTTAAAAAACCAAAAGAAAATGTGTTTAAATGTTTTGGTCAAAGTAAATGTTGATGTACCCAAATCCAATATTTCTTTCTTTATTTAATTATCCTTGACCAAGATCCTCGTGGGATAACATAAAGGGTATGTTAATTAATTTTTGCCAATACAATATCAAATCAAATCTTACCTAAATGTCTTAATTAAAACTTTATTTTATTTTTTATTTGAAATATATTTCCATTCATTAAACTCTCTTAAAAGTTTGATTTGATACGCTTTTACATTTTTCTTTTTTCCTTGCGTTTTGAGATATTATATCATATCATTAAGTTATCGTCCTGATTTTTCTTACTTAATTAATAAAAAAGTCACACAAAATGAATATAATTATTTTTTTTAATGTCACAAAAATAACCAGAGAAGGTTTCAAGACTACACAAATGGAAACAAAATCAAAACACTTTTGGAGAATCTCAAAAAAGGCATGTAATAAAATATAATAAAACGTCACAAATGCACATTTTATTTTTGAGGAATCTATAAAACGTCACAAACAACATGTCATAAATACAATTTGTATACTTCAAGCATTTCACAAGGCTGATGATCGAAGAAGGATGATAATTGCCGACGAAAAACTAAGCTACATCTATAAGTACAGTTTTTAAGACTAACTGATCCTAATGCCATAATTTTAGGAATTTCTAGCAAAACGTTCTATTTTTCTTTTTCTTTTTTTGTTGCATATACTCTTGAAAGCTGAATCTGAATATTCTATAATATTCCAGCGCCCAAATCAGAACAAAAATGAAAATCAATCGCATAAAATGTCATGTAATTGCATATTGAAGCATAAAATCATCGAAGAACTAAGAAACAGGAGGATTTCAAATAATATAATTAAACGAAATAAGAAGGGGAAAAAACACTTGCAGATGCCGAAGAGAGGTTTTCCTTTAACTACAGTTTTTTCGATACTGTACAAAAAGCAAAAAACAACGATTAGGTACATCTAATTCGAGTCAGATCCAAATCGCGATACTGATCCGTTTCACCAAAACTCAATCAAACACATCACGGAAGAACAGGAACACAAATTACGAGCATCGGTTCAAATGAGAACGACGAATCGATAAATCGAACGTTTCGAAGAGATTCGAGACCTAACTTGTTATTCGAGAATGAACTACCAGTGGCACAATTCGAGGCGGCGAGAGCAGAGAGTACAGAGATATTTCCTCTTGATCTTGAGGCAGAGAGGGAGGCAACAGAGCTTCCATTGTCTTTCGACGTCAATAGCGTACACTTTGCCTCGACAGAAAGGGCAAGTTCCTGGCGCTTGTTGTCTTCCGAGCTCTTGCTCTTTCTCTTCCCATACGCATGCGAGCCACATTCTTTACCGGTCTCTGCGTGTTCCTTCTGCAACGACGGAATGAGGTTCCGCGGCGGAGCGATGTCAGGGGAAATCGGAAAGTTGAGAGAGAGAAGAGAAAAGGTAAAGATTGTGCGCAACGCGATGAGCAGTTTCTAAGAGCAGAGAGATGGAAACCGGTGTTTATATAGATAGAGAGTACGCGTTCGTGAGTGATTGATATTTCTCAGGTTTTAAATCTTTTTTAGAATTTCAAAATTAAGGTCAAATAATACAAAATATCATTGAATTTAACTTTCCTCGACGAATTCAAATTATTTATATAACTAATTTTCACACGTAAATAAAATATAAATATTACAAAATAACTAATTTAATTAATTTATTACATTAGGTTTTAACTTAAATACTGATAAATCCTAACTTCAAATTTTCATCATTTATTTGTAATGAAGCATAAAAATACAATAATTTTGATAAAGTTTAAAATAAATATAAATAATAATCATTTTATGGTAAATATAAAAAAAAAACATGACAATTATTTATGATTAGTCTAATTTATAGACTAATAATGTCAATTATTTTCTAATTATAAAGTATTATAGATGAACATCTCGCTATTTATCATATGTTTCATGATTATTTAGTCTAATTTATAGACGAATAATTTCAATTATTTTCTAATTATAAAGTATTGTAGATGTCTCGCTATTTATCATATGTTTCATGATTATTTAATGAGATTTAATAATTTCACTGATTAAATTATTATTTTAACACGAGATTTAATAATATTTTAATTTATTTTTAATATTATTTATAAGTAAATATTAGGTGGACTAACTAATATGAATATTTTTTTAAAGTTAAATGATAAAAATTGAAAAAAAAACATTTTTATAATTAAAAAAATCACGTGAAAGCAACTAAAATAATGGAAATCCCAAATTTGAAAAAGTAGAATTTAACGCTAAAAAACGGAATACAGTAAAAATCAGAATAATAAAACAAAAGTAAGAGCAAAAAGGTAACTTTCTAAAAGTAAAAAACGAAAGAAAAAACCAAATTGAAACAGATTCATTACGTGGCGTCGTTGTCGGAAGGGAATTTCCACGTAGGCGCGGGAAAATCCACGTCACGCATTACTATAAAAATAAAGAAGCGTAACCCTCTAGGATTTTATAGCCATGACCAACTCAGCGATCTGTTGGAAAATGACCCATTTTTCCCCTTCTTTCTGCTATTTTCATTTCATAAAAAAATAATAAATAATTATTATTATTCAGGTTTCCTAAAAGCCACCTGTGACTCAGGATCAGAGCGTCCGCCAGGTCATTTGCCATTTAGGAAAAAACGACAATTTATTATTATGTTGGGGATTATTAATTGTTTGGACTTTACTGCTTTCTTTAAAATGAGAAAATAAATTATTAAAAATAAAATCACAAGAGAGATACGAGATAAAAAAATATCTCTTTAATTTACATTTTTAAATTTTTTTTATATATTTTAAATAATTTTAAAATTACTATTAAATGGTGAATAATTGGACTTGTTCCACAGCCGTTTTATATTATTCATGGTTATTTTAGTCAATTACCTAATCTACAAATTTATGAATATTAATAATAATTAATAAGATTGTACAAAATTTCACATGGGTGCACATCCATCAGTCATAAATATTAAATATACGTCCAAAACATTATACAGACACCTACCAACAAAATTTAAGTCAAGAAATTAGGTGTAATAATTTAATAAAAATCAATATTATACTATAGGCTAAAATAAATACGTACTTTATATTAAAAAAAAGCAGGTGAATATATGGGGAAATGTTATGCTAACAATAATAAAATACAAAAAAAATGCCCATCACTTCACGTGCACTAAAAAGCAAACCAAGTCAGATTCTTTCTCTGTAAACCTTTATTTATTTATTTTTTGTTAAGTTACAAAATATATATATATATATATACACATATATAAGAAAAATACATGAATTAATTAAATAAAAAGATTAGATAATTAATAAATATTTAAAATAATTAAAAATAACTATTTTTACTTAATTTTACAATATTATATTTGGGCCAAAATCATCCAACATTTCAATAATATATATATATTAGAAAAATACATGAATTACTCGAAACCACATCTAAATAAAAAGATTAGATAATTAATAAATATTTAAAACAATTGAAAATAACTATTTTTAATTTTACAATATTATATTTGGGCCAAAATCATCGAACTTATACGAATGACATTTCAATAATATATATATATATTAGAAAAATACATGAATTACTCGAAACCACATCTAAATAAAAAGATTAGATAATTAATAAATAATTGAAAATAACTATTTTTACTTAATTTTACAATATTATATTTGGGCCAAAATCATGGTACTTGTACGAATGACATTTCAATAATATCTAAAAAAATTCCTTAAAATATTTAAAATATAAAAACTCATAGAAGGAATTTCTTTCTCAACGATTACCCACGGTGAGAGGCAAAAAAAAAAAAAAAAAAAAAAAAAAAAAAAAAAAAAACCATTAATAAGATTAAAGGAAAAAGGAAAAGAGAATTACAGAAAACATTTTGGGTTTAAATGGATCAGTTAAAGAAGAAAAAGAAGAAGCCCAAATGCGATTCAATCCATGAAAGAAAGCCTTATGATTTGGGGCAGAGATGAGCCCATGAACCCATTTTCAATGGTGCCTTCATCTTCCTTCCCGCTCAAACTCAGCCTCACGTCGGCGCCTTCTTGCCCGCCAAATCCCACGCCTCGCAAGCTCTTTTCGAAAATCTCCGTCAACCATTTTTCAAACACGCTGTTCACGAAAGAATCGGACCTTGATGAAATTGCTTCCAGTACTCTCTCTTCCACGCTGAAATTCGCCTGTGTTTGCGACCCGAAGATCCCTTCGAATGATCGGATGATCTTGGACTTGAATGATTCTCTCTGCTCTCTTCTTGATGACGAGGTTTGGTTGAAAATGAAGCGGTTCTGAATTGATCGGAGAAATGTCTTCTCGATTTGGAGGTTGTATGATGCGGATTCTGGATCGGCGGTGAGAAGTATTCTGTCCTCTGTTTTTTCTTCTGGTTCTTCGTCTTCATCGGCTTCGAGGTTTAGGTCGAGTTTGTTCGAGCTTGATTGCCTCGATAAGCTTCCGTTGATTTTCGCTGTATCGATGGTAAGGTTTGTGTCTTCTTCCTCTTCTTTGATTATTCTTTGATGCTTTGTGTTGTTTGGGGATTCCCATTCGGCTCTTCGCTTTTGGTCTAAACTAAGCGCTCCAAAACCAGAGTTAATGGCGATATTCAGTGCCATTGGGATTATGGAATCTGTATCCTTATCTTTTCCTTCACCTCTGGTCAAAATGAATAGGATTTGGCGAGTCGTTTCATCTTTTTCATCTATTTCTCCGAATTTTCCATCATGGAATCCATCTGCTAGGAACTTCATGAGTTGAGTATCTGCCTGATCGATGTCTTCAACTAATACTACTAGTTTTTCTTGTGTTTTCATGACATTTTCGAGGACTTGAGAAGGCGAGGTTGCCTCATTGTTACCTCTCGCATTTAGCTTGCAGAGTAGTTCAGTAGAGCCGAAAATTGATTCCGCAATTGCTCGAGCTAACCTTCTTTTGCCAATCTGGTCATCTCCTTCTATCATTATCCAAGAGATTTCTTTATTTGTTGATTTGAAACTAGTCAGCGCTTCAGCTACTGAAGGAATGATTTCTGATTGCCATGGTACGTTCTCTTGCAATGATTTGCACAGATGATCTCTTTGTGTCATTCCTTCACTCTTCTTCGTAGTTGCCAATTTCTTTGGATCTTTGAACAGTGAGTCACCTAGAGAGAGAGAAATGTTTACTTCCTTGTTATCTTCTTCCATGTTCTTGAGACAATCCAAACTTGGTGTTGCATCCTGATATTTATGCTTTTCACTGTCGAAATTGAACTCAGTAATGCAGGATTGTTGGCGCCTAAACCGAAGCATCTGATTTGAACTTCTTGACTGTTTCACTGCCGGTTCAGTGAAGCAGATTGTATTTGAATCTTGGAAGATGCTGTTCCTGGTCGAAAATGGATGTGGCCAAGAACTAAGGAAGTTACTTCCACTGGAACTTTCATTGCTGTGCAATGTGGATTTCTCCTGACTCTGAGGACACAAAAAAGTAAACGTGTTGAGATGTTAAGACCAATCTTTTGAGTAGTATTTGGTTATGATCAAAGAAACTGAAACCCAAGTTGCAAATGAAAATTGAGCACAATGTTTGAACTTCTTGAATAAAATTCTACATGGAACTAAGCAGAAACCGGTTCTTCAATTTTGAGAAAATGGATACAAACAAAAGGCCAAGATCCCATGTTCTTGGTGGGTTTAAGTGAGAGGGTTCTTGTTTGAATATCGAATTCCTTAAATATCAAAGTTGAGCCAAGTGAAATCCACTACCCAAAAGAATGATTAAACCAACATAAAAAATTTGTATAAACCAAAACTAAATCAAGCAACATTAGTGAAATGGATTGATTGAACCAACTCAACTCAATTCAATTGGTACTCTCCATATGATATTTCATCTATGAGTCAAGTTCTTCATGGAAGAGATTGGTTATATATTTGTACCTTAAGGTGGGATATTTGGGTGCTGAAGGGCTGCAGCCAGGAAGGTAACTCTCTCTGATGGCTTGATTTTAATTGCTGAGCTTCCTTATCAGGATTGGAAGAGCAGTCGCAGCAAGTGAGTTTGTCTTGGCCCTCTTTAGCAATACTGAATGGCTTTGTTTCCCATACTTGTGATGGGTTCTGGGAGAAAGGCATCCTCGAGCCATGAAGACTGCAAAACAAGCAAGATCATTGAGTCATGAACTATCTTTGTGCTGCAAGTAGGTATGGCTTTACGGAATTATTCGTTTGAAATATGTTTGCACAAGTAAAGATTTACCATCTTACTCTGCCTATTGATTTATTATCTTACTCTGCCTATTTGTTTAGTCTAAACTCTGAACTAATATACATAATGGAACACATTGACTTGTGGTCTATTTAGAAGGGTTTTCACCCGTTTCCTGATTATCTTAAGATGGATCACAGGTGAGGGGGAGTCGAAGGCATGGCGACAATGTAAAAGATATTCCAATGTCGACCTATTGTCAACCTC